TCCATGGACCTCAACAAGGTGCTGTCTGTCATCTACACGGTGGTCACACCTCTCTGCAACCCTATCATCTACTGTCTGAGAAATAAGGAGGTCCATGCTGTACTACAAAAGACCTTCCACTGGCCTTGACTGTGGTCTTCCAACTCTGGACCCCTCTCTCTCTGGATCAAACATTCCTTGAGGTCTGGGGATGTAACTCAGTGGTAGACCTCTATCATAGCATGCACAGGCCCTGGATTTGATCCCCAACCCATTGAAAAAAGAAGTACAAATATTTCTTGGCTCCAAAACTCCATAAACCTTAAACTACAAAGAAAAATAGCATAAAACATTTTCCTTTTTTAAAATATGTGATAGTCACACACCAAGCAAAAACTAAATCTGAAATACCTAAGGAGAAATCAGCAAATCCCAACAGAAAACAAGACAAATATTATGTGTTCATGGCTGGTGATCCATTTCTTAAGTCATAACCCAGGGAATGCAGCTTGAGCACCCATTATTTTATTCCTAGAAGAGTGATACATTTTAACTGAATGCAGGTAGCTAGGAGTGCAGAATCTTTGTTGCGTTAACATTTGCAGTTTAGAAGCAATCTAAATGTCTAATAATGGGTGGATTAAACAAATTAATTGTGAGATAACTAATGTTCTTTTAAATAAAAAGAAAACAGATTTTTTTGTGTTATGGTGGGTATCAATGTTAAATTTAAAAAAATCAAATAACAGGGAGAAACGTTTTAAATGAATCAAATAAGGGGCTGGTGAGATGTCTCAGTGGTTAAGGGTGCTTGCTGCTTTTGCTGAGGACGCGAGTTCAGTTCCCAGCAACCACACATAAAGCAGCTCACAGCAGCCTCTAACTATTACTCTGGGGGAATCTGTCACCTTCTTCTGGCCTCTGTAGATACCCGCACTCATGTGTACATACACACAGAAATATATGACTACGTAATAATAAGGTTTTAAAAACCATATATTAGCATGTATTAATTGTACAAAATGGCTTCATTATGGCATTTTCTTGCATATAATGTATTTGAGCACACTCACCCCTCATGAACTTCCCTTGTCTTCCTCCCACTCCATGATGCTCTCTTTTCCCTCTCCAATAAACTTTGATTCCATGTCTTTTATATTAGTTGGCCTGTATTAATTGTGCACATAGTTACTTTTATGTCAGGAATACTTAACATTTACCCCCTTGCCTGAACTGTTACATTCTTTCTTGTGTCTTCATCACCAACCATGTTTCCTTAAACAGTTAATACCCCCTGTAGATAAACAGGTTGTATATTCCATGGTGGCATGCTTCTCTATACTAAAGATCCGTCAACTGAAAGATGGACCAGTTTCTTTGCACACTTCCATACTTCACACGCCAAGCATAGTCTTTACATTGGGTGAGAAATCAGCCCACGTGGGTCTGGAGAGATGGCTCGGAAATTGAGAGCACAAACGGCTTATGCAGAGGGCCCAACTTCAGTGGCCAGTGCCTAGGTTAGGTGACTCACAACTGCCTGTTACTCCAGCTCCAGTGCGTTTTTATGGCCACTTCAGGCATCTGCACTCGCATGCACATGCCCCCTACCCCACAGATAGCCACACCTACACATAAGTTTTTAAAAGGAAATAACTCTGATTGAGAGTGGTCTGCAGACCTTTCTACTTCAATCTCTAAAAATTATCAGTACAATGCTTTCTTTCCTACCACTCCTCCAAATCCTCAGGGGCCAGGGAAGTCTCTGAGGTCCAGAGCTTTATCCTAAAGCTGTGCCCCTGGCTCCTCATTTTAGTGCAGGCAGTAGCCACAGCACCGCAGACTCCAGAGCCACAAAGAGAATTGGAGGCATGGTTGGCAGGATTGTTAGAGGACCAAGAGCAGCTCCTCCCGAGATGCACTGAAGGGCTGTTCTCCTGTTTCCTGGCATGTGCTCTGGGCAGGAATATCAGAGGCTCCTGATCCCACCTGTGAGGAAGGATCGGTACCTGCTACCTTCAACCTCCAGGTGAGATGCTCCAGTGTTGTCCTTGGGGGGGTGAAGGCAAGGAGCCTCGGTGAACACCTCTGGCACACAGATACTGACTGGTTTTGGAGACGTAAAGAAACGTAAGCATCAGAAGAATGGATGAAGAGGTGGTAACAATAATTACATCTAGAAGTTAAATATTAGTAACAACACATACCCCATCTAAGTGGCTTCCTAATGACCAGTTAGGGTGGGAGAGACTTCCTGTCTGACTTCAAAAATGTTATGTGATGTTATACCACCCCAAAGAGGGCTGGCATGCAGTCGTTACTATTGAATGGATTAAGCTCATTCTAGGGAAAACTGGGCACTCCTACATCCCAGAATAGACCAACAAGATTAATACATTGACCAACTTTCCTAGAGTAATAGCTCTTCCAATGCTTGTAGAATCAAGTGCAGCTGTACATCATTATGCATGTAGCTCCTGATGCATTGTATTTTTGGGTACATCCTTAGTTCTCTATTTTTTATTGAGTTTGTTCTTTGGCAATTTTTACAAGTTTAAAGTGGATTCTGATTAGTGTAACAACCCTATCCTCTCCAATGTCCCTCTTCTCCCTATTAACCCTCTTCTCCCTATAATTCCCTTTCAAACATTCATGTTATTTTAAAAACTATTCACTGTAGCCGGGCGGTGGTGGCGCACGCCTTTAATCCCAGCACTTGGGAGGCAGAGCCAGGCGGATCTCTGTGAGTTCGAGGCCAGCCTGGGCTACCAAGTGAGCTCCAGGAGAGACGCAAAGCTACACAGAGAAACCCTGTCTCGAAAAACAAAAAAAAAAAAAAACTATTCACTGGAACCAGTTGGGCATCTCAGTAGGTACAAAACTGAAGACAATGATGATCCGTACTCCAGAACTCATCAGTAGTCAGTATTTCAGCTAATGACTCTGCTTCTTAAATGTCAATGGAATGAAGTGGAGCTATAGGCCATTGAAGACTTCAATTTTGTTTAGAACAGATATATTCCTTGTAACTCAGACACCCAACTGGTCTCCACATTACATTCCCTCTTTATCAATAGTGGAAAAAACAATTCAAGATACAGATTAATGTCTCTACATTTTTAACTATAAAAATTTATTTTGTGTGTGTGTGTGTGTGTGTGTGTGTGTGTGTGTGTGTGTGTGTGTGTGTGTCTGTCTGTCTGTCTGTCTCTCTGTCTGTCTGTCTGTCTATCTCTGTGTCTGTGTCTAGGCATGGGTAAGTTCATGTGCAACACTTGCAGAGGCCAGAAGAGGGGGTCAGGTCACTTGGAGCTAGATTCACGTGTGTTTGTGAGCTGCCTGACATGGGTGCTAGGAACTGAACTCAGATCCTCTGAAAAAACAGTAAGCACTTAACCTCTGAGCCATCTCTTTAGCTTCTAGTATCTTATTAAAAAAAAAAAAAACATTGAGGCATGAAATGCTCAAGGAAGTAAATAGAAAGCATCGTGGCCCCAACTCCTCTAGGGAGTAGAATCATTTCTTCTTCATCACTGTATCTCCTTACTATATAGAGAAACTGCTGGAAGAAAACACAGGGCTCACACATGTATTTTCAGTTGAATCAGTTTTTACGTGTTCTAGCTCTTAGATTCAGGGTGCTGTGGTGGCCCTTTGGGGGTGCACTTACAGTCATTCTAATGGTCATATAGGGAAATACAAGTACTCCTGGGTCATCAATCAGATTATGTAGCCACAAGAAGAATCCATGCAAGAGGAGAGTGTGGAGTCGGTACTAAAAGGTCAGAGGTAGATTGTGACGGGAGTGGAGTGTAAGGAATCTCAGTGGAGGGGAAGGACCACCGGAGGAGACCATGTCACAAGCTCTTAAGAATGCAGACAACCTCCCTCACCCAGTAATCAACCTGGGAAGTTTTTGTTTGTTTGTTTGCTTGCTTGTTTTTGTTTTCGTGTTTTTGTTTTGGTGTGTGTGTGTGTGTGTGTGTGTGTGTGTGTGTGTGTGTGTGTGTGTGTTAGATAAGTTTTGTGGAAGTCTGAATTCATGTAGGGTGTCTTCTTCTATTTCTCTCCACCTTGAGTTTTGAGACAGATTCTCTAGCTGAACCTGGAGATGAGCAACTGGCTAATCTGGCTGGGGAGCTCCAGGTATCCATCCTCTATGTTCCTCTCCCAGGGCTAGGGATACAGGTTCATGCCACATCACCCAGTTTTCACACAGGTGATGGGACCCAAACTCGGGTCTTCATGCATGTACGGCAGGCACTTTACAGACCAACGTATCTCCGCAGCACTGAGTGACTTTTTAACTACCGAAGACAATTTCTACTCCAGGAACCAGAAACTCACCGCATCAGGGCTTTCGTTTAAGATTACCTCTAGAATCCAAACTCAATTTCTTGAGAATCTCATTTTCATTAAGAAATTTAAAAAAAAAAATAGCTTCCTCAGACCAGGCTAGTGCTCAGTCGGAGAAAAGGCCTCAATTGGAGCAAAAGTTAGATCCATTCAACCACAGTGGACACTGGCATGAACTTCGATACAAATATGAACTGTAGCTACAACCCGTGTGGCTATGCTTTGTAATATAATCTCAATCATTGCATGAGGAAAAGGAAAGTGGTACCCATCGGACTGGTTTGAAAGCTGTTGAAAGACTGTGGGGAAATGCAAAGTCATATCCTTTGTCATGGAATGCAGATGAACTTTGGACCATTTGGTTCAAAGGCAAAGGAAAAGTGACTGTATAATAGCCAGGAACTATTGTCTGGAATGGGAGCTTTAGTGCCTGAAAACTGTGGACTGCTGGATTCACATCAGAACCTCAGCTTCATACTCTGTATGAAGTCATGTACCCAGCTCTTCTATATCTCTAGGACTCACTTAACTCATGACTTTTATACTTGGCCTAGAACCTTGAGATTAAATGTTCCCCAATGTTTCCAAATCTGGATCCTTGAGAAACTGACTCTCTGTAATAAGAATAAAGATAGTAACAAGCCCTGCGTGTCCAGCATTCCTCACAATTCTTGCCCCTCAGGCTCCCAGAGGATCTGTCTCAAACACCTTTTCTTGGCTATTGTGAATAGAGCAGCAATGAACTTGGATGAGTAAGTATCTCTGTAGTAGGAGGTACAGTCTTTGTGAAAATTCCAGGGATTAGTATGGCTGCGTCTTATGATAAATCCATTTTTCTCCTTTTGAGGAACCTCCATATTGATTTCCATGGTAGCTGCACTAGTTTACACATTCGCCGAGACTGAATCAATGTTTCCCTCTCCTCACTGCCATGAGAGCATTTGTTGTACAACTTTTTTTTTAAAAAAAAATTAACCATTCTGATTGGGGTAAGATGAAATCTTAAAGTAGTTTAGTTTGCATTTCCCTGATCACTGAGGATGTTGAACATTAAAAAAATATTTCTAGGCCATTTGTATTTCTTTTTTTGAGATCTCTGTTTGTATCTAAAGTCTATTTTTATTTTTAAAATTTGGACTAGTCCCTTGAGAATTTCGTAGGCTGTTTTAATCATATTCACCCTTCCCGCAACTCCTCCCAGATCTGCTCTGACTTTCCTACCCACCCGATATTGTGTCCCCTTTTCTCTCCTCTTCTGTATTTTTACCAATTAATCCTCATTTGTTTTTCCCATGCATTCTTGTATGCGTGGCCTTCAACTGGAGCATGGCCAACTTACCAGGACCTACACTGCCCCCGCCTCTCAGAAGCTATCAGTTGCCAACAGCTCCTCTCCTAGGGTGAGACTTCATGCCCAGCCCTCCTCTACTCGTTGGGAATTTGCCCGGCTTGAGCTTACACTGGGCTCAGGCATGCTGTCACAACTCCAGTAAGGTCACACATGCAGCTGTCCCGCTGTGTCCAGCAGACAGTGTTTCTGTGGACGCATCCACTGCCTCTGGCCTACTTTTTTTTTTTTTCAAAATATACTGAATTTGAAATTCTCAAAGAATGAATACAACTAGAGGCTGCTTGGCTGGGAAAATGGCCCTATGGCTAAAGTCATTTGCCACCAAGACTGATGATGAAGTTTAATTCCTAGGATCCATGTGATAGAGGAAAGAACAGACTCCTGGAAGCTGTCCTCTGACCTACACACACACACACACACACACACACACACACACACACACACACACACACACACACAGTGTTCCAAGTCAATGACTAATACCTAAGAACTTCAGTAAATGTCCCTGAGTTGATGTTCTGCATGATTCTCTGCACTGAGGAGGACTTTTTAGCTCTAATCCCCAAGTCTCTGAGGTGGAAGGGTGCTTGGGTTCCCGTCTTGAGTATTATGATGGGGGACAATGGAATTTACACAGTGCTGAAACAAGGTCATATTGGGTCAGCTTCCTGATCATTTCACTCCCAGACTGTGACTTAGAGCAAAAGATTTGCCACTTTGAGCCTTGTATCTTCCTACAAGAACAGAAAATATCTAGGTTTTAATATGGTCCTGACATTCAGAAGGAACTCATGGATTAAAGGGTTTTATTAGTAGGTTCTATAGCATTGTTTGCATCAATAATATTCTGTGTGAACTATGATATTCTCAAGTGGTACAGTGAGGAAATAATATGTGCTTGTGTATTATAATCACAAAGATTGGCTGCATTCCAATTTTCAAACTTTCTGATAAAGTGTGTCAGTTGTTATGGGACTCTGATTCTGAGAGATACTATACACAAGGATGTTAGTTGCTTGCAAAGGATCTTGCCAGCAAGGAGAGAGAAAGAAAAGCAACAAACAGCATCAACATTGATGTTTGGAGCTCGGATCAACCAGTAAAATGCTTGTCTTGCAAGCATTAGGACCCATGTTCAATATGAGAACCTGGTCATTGATGGTGCATGTTTGTGATCTCAATTGTAAGGAGATGGATACAGGGAGATCCTTGGGGCTCTTTGAGCAACTGTGTCTTTAAAGCACTTGGAGGTGTGTATGAGGGCTGGCTTGGTAATTAAGAGCACTCGCTCCTTTTCTAGAGACCTGGATTAAATTTCCAATACCTACATGGTGGCTCACAAGCATCTGAAAATCCAGTTCCAAGGACATAGCTCTTTCATCTGGCTCCACGGGTACTAGGCATGCCATATGACTCACATTCATATTTGCAGGCAAAAATATTTTACACATAGAATGAATGTTTTTTAAATGCAAGGGAGATTACATCTGAACAACATGTGAGGTTAACCGCTGGCCTGCACATGTACATGTGCACCCACATGTATACACATACACACAAGAAGTAATAAACATTGTGTGGATGGCCCATGATATAATAGAGCAATAGAAAATAAGAGAAAAGAGATATTTTTGGAAGGAAAAAAACTAATAGTCTTATAACACTCTTGATTTATAGGTATGACTAAATTTGTGTGGTGTTTAAAAAGAAAATTAAAAACCATCTAGACAGATGACATTTATTCCAGAGCAATACATAAAAGTGATCTAGTTCCTTATTTGGTACAGAGTGTATCATTCATTGTTTCATTTATTACAAGTAAATGTTATTCTTTTTTGCTTTATTTGGAGACATTATTCCTACAAGGTCAAAAGTTTCAGGCTCCTTCCTTTCACGTGAATCTCAGAGGGTGAGATGAGTTCATCAGACTTGGCCGAAAGCATATTACCCACTGATCCTATTGCAGACCCCCTCTCAAAAATTACATTTGTGTGTGTGTGTGTGTGTGTGTGTGTGTGTGTGTGTGTGTGTGTGTGTGTGTGTGTGTTAACAGATTTAGGAAACCTGTATGGAGATTTGAATGAAAAACATCTCCCGTAGACTCAGGCATTGACCACTTCGTACCAACTGGTGATGCTGCTTGGAAAAACTTAGGATGAGCAGCCTTGCTGGCTGGAGGAAGTAAGTCACTGGTGGGGGGGTGGGCTTTGAGAGTTCATAAGTCCGATCCACTTCCAGTTTGCTGCCTGTTTCAGACTTGCCATTGAGGAGGTTTGCCCTCTGCTTCCGGCTCCTGCTGCCATGTCTTCCCATCAGAACAAACTCTTATTCCCACTGGAGCCATGAGTTTTGTAAGCTCTCTCTTGATGCTTTCACATGCCTTAGCCATGTTTCATCATAACAACAAGAAAAGTAACCAGTACAGACAAGGACCATGCTAGAGTCTCTTGCAAAAATCGGCTAACACTCTACCTTTCTGGACAGTTGCCAGCACCACTAATTTCTCCAGGAAATGTGAAATCCAAAGTTCGTGTCATTGTGCTTGTTTGTGAACGATGTTATTTGCTCTCCACAGATGGAGACCTCACTGGAGTTGGCCAACATGACCAGAGTCCAGCAATTTGTATTGTTGGGCTTTCCCACAAGGCTGGGGATAAGGGATGCCCTATTTGTCCTCTTCCTGACTCTCTACCTGCTGACGCTCCTGGAGAACACCCTCATCATCTACCTCATCTGTAGTCACAGTGAGCTCCACAAGCCCATGTACTTCTTCCTGGGCAACCTCAGCTGCCTGGAGATGTGCTATGTGTCAGCCACCATGCCCACACTACTCGTGGGGCTGTGGACGGGACCCTACCATATTTCCTTTGTAACTTGCATGACCCAGCTCTTCTTCTTTGTCTCTCTCATCTGCACAGAGTGCACCCTCCTGGCCTCCATGGCCTATGACCGCTATGTGGCCATCTGCCGCCCACTGCACTACCCACTGCTCATGAGGCCCCAAGTCTGCCTGGGCTTAGCCTTGTCTTCATGGCTTGGTGGGCTGGTGGTCTCAGCAATAAAGACAAAATGCATTGCAAGCCTGACCTACTGCGGCCCCAATGTCCTCAACCAATTTTTCTGTGATGTCTCCCCTCTGCTCAACTTGTCCTGCACCCATGTGGCCCTCACAGAGCTGGTAGATTTCATCTCGGCCATCGTCATCTTCTGCGGAACACTCCTGGTGTCCTTGGCCTCCTATTCAGCCATTGGGATGGCCGTCCTCCGGATGCCATCAGCTGCTGCCCGACGCAAGGCCTTCTCCACCTGTGCCTCCCACCTGGTAGTGGTGGGCATCTTCTACTCAGCAGCTCTCTTCATCTATTGCCGCCCCAGCCGCATCAAGTCCATGGACCTCAACAAGGTGCTGTCTGTCATCTACACGGTGGTCACACCTCTCTGCAACCCTATCATCTACTGTCTGAGAAATAAGGAGGTCCACACTGTGCTGAGAAAGACTCTCCATTGGCCTTGATCACCATCTTCCATACACGAACCTTTCACACCTTGGTTCAAATCTTTCATGGCCCAACCACCACAAGTAATCTTTAAATGCTAACTAAAACCTGAAGAAAAGATTTGCCTAGGAGTTTAGCTAAGGAAAATCATTAAGAGAAAAATCACTTTAGAGAATGATCAAAGTTAATGAGTAATTATTATACATATTCACTAGCCCACATTTTTATATGCTTAAAATCACTCACAACATGCATATTTCATAGTCCTAGAATTTTTATTGACAATTGGCTGATAAATATTTATTGAGTCTCTAAGAGTCTACAAGGATAGAAAGATACTGTACAAAAATTAACAAGTTTACTGCATCATTGTTTGTGAAAAGAGAGAGTCAATTTAAATATCTATCAATAGTATTTATATGTAACAATAGTTTAATTACAAGATAAAATGTGAGACTGTACAAATGTTTTAAATAATTATTTGTATGATTTTAATTATGGATACACATGTATGTCTATGTGTGGGGTATGTGCACGGTGTGCAGAGGTCTCTGGAGCAGAGTTGCCAGCAGTTGTGAGTCACTCAACACGCATGCTGGAACTCAAGCTTGAGTCCTCTGCAAGAGCAGTGAATGCTTTTAACAACTGAGCCATTTCCCCAGCCCATATGCTCTACCATGAAATGCACCTAACTCATATGTATACTTAATTTTAAAACCAAGTAAAAATGCGCTACAAAATTCCTTTGTGTGTGTTTGCATATATTTGTGTGTGTGTGTGTGTGTGTGTGTGTGTGTGTGTGTGTGTGTGTGTGTGTGCCTGTACCTTAACGTGTGTGTGGAGGTCATAGGACAACTTCAGGTGTTAATTCTTACCTTCCATCTTCTCTAAAGCTTTCCTTCCCCTAGTTCCTCTACATCCACAGGGACCAGGGAATCCTCTCAGGTCTAGAGAGCTGGTTTAAGCTTGTTCCCTTGCCTTTAGTCTCACAGTATAGCCAACTCAGTGACTGGGACATTCCAAAGCAGAGACACAGGTGTGTGTGTGTGTGTGTGTGTGTGTGTGTGTGTGTGTGTGTGTGTGTGTTTGCATGCACATGCATGTTTGTTCAAGAACAAAGACAGCTTCTCCCAAGGCATACTGAAAGGCTCCAATCCTTGGCATCACCTCCTTCGGGCCAGCTGATTCCATCTGGCCAACACCAAAGCCTACCCTACGTTGAGCATCAGCCAGAAGGGATCTGTACTTGTCTGCCTTCATCCAGTAGGTGAGAAGGTCCAGAGAAATTCTTTGAGGGAGTGAAAAAATGAGAGACAGTCATTTACTCTGGTGAATATCATTTCTCTGCCCCACAGAGGAGGGGGAAATATCATGTTAATACAAGACTTTACTATAAGGTTTGACCTTGTAAGTTAAATGCCAGAAGCCCTGGTTTTGAACCCAGGCCCTACATAAAAGAGGGCGTGGTGGCATATACTTGATATCTCAGTACTTAGAAAACAGAGGCAGGGGATTGTCAGCTCAGGTCATCCTCCACTAGGTATCAAGTTTAAAGCCAACCTGGGATATATGAAACTTTATCTAAAAACCAATACAAGGAACAGCAGAAAGAATATGCTGTTTCTTTAGTCAAGATCATTCTGGCCTCGAAGTTGTGCTTCTCCCACCTTAGCCAGCCCTGGAGTGCTGGAATTACACGTATGTGATAACAGTTATACATGCTTGGCTATAAAAAAAAATTGTATAGAATACATAATTGTTTATTAGGTGCCAGCTCCAAATATTTGAAAGATATTGATGTAATGCTCATGATGACTGCATGTAAAAATATATGCATATATGGGTAGAGATAGTGAGAGACAGCATGGAGGGGTCAGGTGGTGTCTTAAAGACCATGTACTTACAAGAGAGAGGTAATCTGTTATGGTGACTTCAGACTCTTGTTTTCAGCAAACGTTCAGTTATCTTCCCAAAGATGAGAAGCTGGGCAGGCAATAAAGACGATTGTGGAGTCTCTCCATTTCAAAGAAAAGAAATAATCCTACATTACAGAGAAGACAAAGGGGGTTGAAATAGACAAAGTGACTCCTAGAGTTCAAGGTTTTCAAACATCTTGACGATAAAAACTCAGCTTCTTTCATGACCATGTATTCATTGCTCTTGAGTTCTGCTCTCTCTGCACGAAGCCTTCCTTCATAAGCATTTGTGGGATGCAGTAGAATTAATAACTATCAAGTCAATAGTCTCGTTGAGAAAAAAGCCTCTAGATTTTATGTAAGACAAGAGGTTTACAACCTGTCCCCATTTAACTTACAAGGTCAAACCTTATAGTAAAGGCTTGTATTAACATGATATTTTCCCCTCCTCTGTGGGGCAGAGAAATGATATTCACCAGAGTAAATGACTGTCTCTCACTTTGAAAAATATACAGTAGATGATTGAAGAGAGTTATTAGCCTTCCCAGAGCACAGATTTGGGAAATCATCATGGCTTATATCCCTTTGGAGAGCAGACAGAATCAGGCTATCCATCACACCCTTTTGAATCTAGGGTACATGCTGCTGAGTAGTTCGTAAATTATGGAACTGGGTATGTCTTCTGTTTCTCCTGATGTGGTGAGACACTTTGGGTGACTGGTAGATATTTGTATGATTGTTATGGAGTGCTGTGCTGTATTTCAACCTGTTAGAAAGGAAGAGTTACCAAGGAAAAGATTTACAGAAGAGTTGAGCAATGTGTGGGGTCGGTACAAAGGGGAACAGAATGACGCTCAAAGTAGAACCGAAAAATAGGGAAAAGCGAAATGGGGGAGGGGAGCGTATCAGTCACTGCCAGACTCTTCAGAGTTTTGGCATCAGTCCGGAGCCTGGATGATGAAGATTCCTTTTGCAGTAGCAAATAGAACTCCATCTACAGAGAGTCAGAACCTAACTCTTGAGAGCTCTTGTGTAAGCTTGTGGAAAGACCTACCACCCAGATTAAAAAAAAAAAACCCAAGCTAATGGGACGCTTGTGTTTAGCAACACAGATATAATCAGTCCCATGCTGTTCAGATATGGTGGGAGGGGGGTCCTGTTGAAGACAAAGACTAGGCATACACCCCTGGCAATAAGACTAGTGTGAACTTCTCTTGTGGTCTTTAAGATCTGAAGATATTGCTTAGTGGTAGAGAATCAGACTAGTAAGTGCAAGCCCTACACACACACACACACACACACACACACACACACACACACACACACACACACTTCTACCATGAAGGTTCTTAGAAAGAGTATCATCTTGCTTATGAAAATTTGGCAAAATAATTATTGAGTTCTTATGAGCTTTTCCAAATCAATTTTAAACCCATAAAGTGGAAATTTGATCAAACCTAATTTTTAAGATATATTATGGAATGGCGGAAATATAGAAATTTAAAATTTGATTAACTTTTATTAAAAATTACTATATAAAGCACTGGGTTGGGCATCTTATTTCCATGTGTGCATATAATGTACTTTGATAATATTCCCACCTGTACTACCACCTTCCCCCCCCCATACCTTATTTTCCTGTCCCATATCCACAATGTTCCTTTTACTTTTTTATTTTATGTTTAATCTTGAGCTTTAAAGATACGTATCTACCTATACAGAGTGCCTCCATTAAAACTTCTTTCTGATTTTGTTCTTTTTATTTTTTAATTTAATGCATGAATATAATGTCTTGATCATATCCACCCTTACCCACTCTCTGTAACCCACCCAAAACACCATGCTCCCAACATCATGTTCTCCTAAAGTCCAATTAGTGCCATTTGAGTGTGCATGGGTGTGGAGTCATCTGCTAGAGCACGGGGAATACACAAATGGTCACCTATCAGACCTGTGAAACAGTTGCCTTCTGTTGGTTTCCTCATGCCTCTTTAGTATTCAACTTCTTTATGGAATTTTTAAAACAAAATTTGCTCTTAATTGATTCTTCTCCCTATTTCTCTCCTACTGTATCCTTCTTTATATTTTATTCCTAAATTTAATATATCAGAGAGAATATCCAAAACTTACTTCACTTAACATGACCTCCAATTCCAACCATTTTTGTCTGCAATCATTATTTCATTTTCCTTTATGACTGATTAAAACCCTAGTGTGTATAAACACCATATCTTCTGTATTCATTCACTCGCTGCCTGACACTTAAGATGTCAGGACAGAGGACTTTGATTTTGGGAGAGCCCCGTGTGTAAACCAGCTCTACTTACTCACTCCCCTCTGTCTTGAGTAAGTAATTTCCCAATCCTGACCTCCATTGTGATGTTGCAATGGTAAAAGCATCTTCACAAAGGTCTGTGATGCTTTGAAGGGTTAAAATTCTTTGCAGTGGAAACCAAGACTTTGACCCAAGGAGGAGCTCTGGACGGTGGTTCTCAACCTGTGGGTTGCATTCTCTTTGGAGTCCCATATCAGATATTTATATTATAATTCATGACAGTAGCAAAATCACAGTTATGAAGTAGCAATGAAATAATGTTAGGATTGGGGGTCACCACAGCATGAGGAACTGTATCATTAGTAAAGCTGAGATCCACTGGCTTAGGATATGATTATTAGTAGTACTATGGAGTTTAATCATTTGACGCTTGTGTCGCTACCATTTAGAATGATGCTAACCAGAAAAATAACTTAGAGAGAGTGGCTGGACAGGGACTCCAGTTATCCAGAGATTTGATCCCACTTCCCTTATTAGTCATATGATTTAGAGCAAGCCATTTTAATTGGGTTTTAATCTTTAATGAAAAGTGTGTGTGTGTGTGTGTGTGTGTGTGTGTGTGTGTGTGTGTGTGTGTGCCACATGTGTGCTTGTGTCATGATATGTGTATGGAAATCAACAGACAGCTTGCAGGAATCTGTTCTCTCTTTCCACCAGGTGAGCGCCAGGGATCAAACTCAGGTTGTTGGACGTGGTAGCAAGCAGCGTTACCCACTGAGTGATCTCTCAGGCCCCATTTTAACATTTTATTCTACAGCGTCTTTCTTGTAAAACAAGAATAAGGATGGCATTTTTTACAGTGTTCTGGGAAGAATCAAAAAGAAGAAGGGCTGAGCAGTGGTGGCACATGCCTTTAATCCCAGCACTCAGGAGGCAGAGCCAGGCGGATCTCTGTGAGTTCGAGGCCATCCTGGTCTACAGAGTGAGATCCAGGACAGGCTCCTAAGCTACACAGAGAACCCCTATCTTGAAAAAAATCAAAAACAAAAGGAGAAGGGAGATATAAGAAGGAAGAGAAGGGGGAAAATTGGGAGGGAGAACAAAGGAGGTTCAGAAAAAGCAGAAGCAGCAGCAGAAGAGGATAGATGAGGAGGAGGGGTTAGGGGGAGGGGTGAGGAGGAGAGGTGAGGAGGAGGGGTGAGGAGGAGGAGAAAGAAGAATGAGAAGGAAAGAGAGAGACTATTATTCCACTCTGGGCTTTATAGAGTACCTAATGTGTGTGTCAGGGACTGAAAGAAAAGAAAACACAGCTAAAAAGACTACACTTTTTTTCCCCAAAACTGACATACATCTTTGTAATGTGTGGTGTTTTTTTTTTTTTTTTTTGTGTGTGTGTGTGTGTGTGTGTGTGTGTGTGTGTGTGTGTGTGTGTGTGTGTGTGCAGCCCCATATGCAAGCATGGGTATGGAGGTCAGAAGACAACCTGGAGTGTCAGTCCGCATTGTCAAAACAGTGTTTAAATCATCAGTGTATGAGACAGGCTCTCTGGCCCTAGGGCTTCTGGGGATTCTTTCTGGCCCTCAGCTAACTAGAGGAGTTCTGGAACTACAGACAGAGGTCACAATATCTGACTTTATGGGGTTTCTGCAGATTCAAATTCATATTCTCATGCTTGGTTGGTGTCATTTGATCCACTGAGCCATCTTCCAGGCTCATAATTTTTTTTAGACACAGTGACATTATGAAGCACTGGCAGACCTGGGACTCACTGCATAGACCAGGCAAGCCTCTAACTCACAGAAAACTTCTTGCCCCTGTCTCCCAAGGGCTTGGATTAAACAACCACCACACTTGGCAAGGCCCGTAATATTTTTTACCACCCACTGATTCACTTGGTTTTAATATATACTCAGGAATAACAAGCATGTTTCTCGCAACTCGAGTGCTCTGTATGAAGTCACAGATTCAGTAAGAGTGAGATACCAAGCTTGCACAATGCCCCATAAATTTGCTGTGTCTTTCTCTATAAAGGGGAACTCCAAGCACTCTAAATGTCTTCCCAGATTTTTTAATCACTGTGTATCATCAGGGATGCAATGTTAACCATTTTCTTTGTCTGTCTACAGATGGAGAGGTCCCTGAAGTTGGCCAACATGACCAGGGTTCAGCAGTTCATCTTGCTGGGATTGTCCACTAGGTTGGACATAAGAGATGCTCTATTTGCTGTCTTCCTGACTCTCTACCTGCTGACACTCATGGAGAACACACTCATCATCTACCTCATCTGTAGTCACAGCGAGCTCCACAAGCCCATGTACTTCTTCCTGGGCAACCTCAGCTGCCTTGAGATGTGCTATGTGTCAGTCACCATGCCCAGCTTGCTCATAGGTCTCTGGAATGGAATCTATCATATTTCCTTCATAGCCTGTATGACCCAACTCTTCTTCTTCATTGTCCTTGTAGGCACAGAGTGTATCCTTCTGGCTTCTATGGCTTATGACCGCTATGTGGCCATCTGCCGCCCATTACACTACCCACTACTCATGAGGCCCCAGGTCTGTCTGGGCTTGGCTGTGACTTCATGGCTGGGTGGGCTACTGGTCTCTATGGTCAAGACCACATGCATTGCCACCCTGTCCTACTGTGGCCCCAATGTCCTCAACCATTTCTTCTGTGATGTTTCCCCATTACTCAACCTGTCATGTACCCATGTGGCCCTCACAGAACTGGTAGACTTCATCTCAGCTATTGTCATCCTCTGGGGCTGCTTCCTCGTGACTATGGCCTCCTATGTGGCCATTGGTAGGACAGTTCTGGCCATGCCTTCTACCACTGCCCGCTCCAAGGCCTTCTCCACCTGTGCCTCCCACCTGGTAGTAGTAGGCATTTTCTACTCAGCCACTATCTTCATCTATGCCCGTCCTAAACGATTAGAAGCCATGGATCTCAACAAGATGCTGTCTGTCATCTACACAGTGGTCACCCCCATGTGCAACCCAGTCATCTACTGTCTGAGGAACAAGGAGGTCCAAGTAGCTTTCTACAAAACCATGCACTGGTCCTGAGGTTGACCAGATGACTGAGTCATGTGGGAGGGATCTTAAATTACCAATATCTATTTTTTTTATTAAAATACAATTCAGATACCATGAATTTCTCCTTTAAACACATACAATGTAGTGTTTTCTTCTTAGATTGCTTCCAATTACATAATCATCATCATGTCAAACCCAGAACATTTTATTTTCCCTGAAGATAAACCTAGCCATATTAGAAATCATTCCTAATGCCCACCACTCACTACTCCACACTCCAATAACTAACAGCCTATATTTAGTTTCTGTAAATTCATCAGTTCTAGATCTTTTATAGTAAGGGGTTTATGTTATATGTGGCTATTGTGGCTGACTATTTTGAAGGCTGTACACATCCCTTCATTAATTAGTACTTTATTTCTGTTTGTACCCAAATGATATTATATTGTATTGATGCTCCCTCTTCTATGCGCTCATTTATCAGTTAACAGACATGTGGGTTGATTCTACTTTGGGGAAATCTTTTGTCTAATGCAACTATGAACATTTTTATATTGTAAAAAGATATAACTTCGCTGCTTTGTTGCCAGAGGGGGCGGAGTTGGAAGTTGCAGGCTTGCGGGGCCAGCGTTCTCGAGAGGTGGAGTTGCGGCCGCTGCTATCTCCCCCCAATAGTCTTCAACCAGTCCCCGCCCGACAGCAGCCATGAGCGGCGGCGAGTACGGCGGAGATGAAGTTGGCGCCCTTGTTTTCGACATTGGATCATATACAGTGAGGGCTGGCTATGCTGGTGAGGACTGCCCCAAGGTTGATTTCCCCACGGCCATTGGTGTGGTGTTGGAGAGAGACGATGGCAGCACCATGATGGAGATAGATAGACGGTGACAAATGCAAACAGGGCGGCCCCACCTATTACATAGACACCAACGCCCTCCGAGTTCCCAGGGAGAACATGGAGGCCATCTCACCACTCAAGAATGGAATGGGTATGGATTTGATTATAGAGTGTTCATAGTCCTTTTAGATGTAAAACAGTAACTGATGGATAGCAGGCGTGTGTTTGTTTGAATTCCACGAAGTAATATTTTGGGTGCCAAGAATACAAAGATGTGTAAGAAGTGTTCTTTTCCTTTAGCTTGGTCAGGAGAGTTTGGTGCGTGCCCAGAAAACTGTATACTGGGTAAGAGCTGTGGAGGTGTGGTCAGGAAACAGTGGTATTCGAGAGGAGACCAGCGTTCATGCTGGTTTTCACAAAGGAGGCAGCCTGCTGAACCGTGGCCAGTGAAGAAGAATTCGACTGGCCCACAAGCCTGAGAAAAGCAGAAAACCCCAGCTTGTATGAAGAGATGGCAGTTGTGACGGAAACACATTTCAAATGGGTTACAGATATGGCTGCCTTCTTGGGTGCTAGGGTCACTTGCAGGAAAGACAGGCAGAGAACAGTATCTTGCTTTGGACACGCTGAGATGGACCCTGAAGGCTGTCCTAGGGAAATGAAAAGGCGCAGTGTGCTCATATTTGCCACCCCGAAAGACACGCTGACAGTATGTAGGGCCTGCTGGAGGGGATCCTGGAGACAGGACAATGACCGGGGAGGAGAAGGTGTCTGGTGGACGTGAGGGCCTAAACCACTGATGGCAGAGATCCTGAAGTGGCTTTTAGGTGTCCAGGTGACAGATGTCACTAAGAGACTGAAGAGGAGGCAGAAAGGAGAGGAGAATTGAGAAGGTGTCCTAGAATTTTAGTTGAGGTAATGGATAAATGGTACCATTCACTAAGATAAGAATTATAGAAGGAGGAGGAAGTGTTATAGTCTTGGGATAAAACTCTGAGGTAAATACTCCTAGGACTCATGGAAGCACACTGAAAAGACATCCCAGGAAAAAGGGAAAGGGGATGAAATCCAGAGGAGACCAAATCTTCTCACTGTGGATGTTTAGGGTATGCTCCTGCCTCAGCCGCACAATATGATGGCATGTGTATTGTCCACCAAGGAGCTCAGCAGAGACTCTGTGTAAGGCTTTGAAGGCTGGTCATGTAGGCCCACCTCTGCCTATCATGTGCCAAAGCTAGAGCAGGAGGGAAGCAGTATTCGACATGAGCCACTTTGTACAAATAGGTTGGACACAGTGGCCTACTCTTAGCATACAGGGAAAGTTTTATGTCCATGCGAGGAACTGTTGACTAGTCGGATGCCCAGACAGCAGTGGAGGGTCAGGTTTGCTGTAGTCTTCACAGCAAGTGAATGGCCTGACTTCAGAGTGTATGGAACATTGGTGATGATCCAGTAAGCAGGCCAGTGGAGAGTCATGGGGAAACATTGAAGATGTGGAATTGCACCGTATGACCCAGAGAGGACATGGAACTGGTAGGAGTTAAGAATGGGCTTTCTGTTGAAAACTTGTTCAGTATTTAACCGGTAGAGATGAATGCCCAGGAAGGAGAATGAACAGTTTCAAGTTAGGGGTTGGGGAAAATTCAAGAGAGGTTTAAGACTCAGAGAGTCAAGTGGTAGTCAGTTTTCTCAGAGGTGGGTTGAGACTACACTAAAAGAGACATAGGTTCCAGCTACTGGTGAGAAAAAAAAAAAAAAAAGCTGTGTTTGTGGGAGAAAAAGTTTATAAACCATTGTGATCAATAGTGCCAAGTAATGTCAAAAGGTCACAGGCAATTGAAAATGCTAATTCTCCAATGGAACTGTCACTAGTTATCGGGTAACTCAGGAGCAGTTGGGGATGTCAGATTGAAGACATCTGTGTTTTGTTTGTTTTTTTCTTGAGACTAAGTTTATCTCTGTAGTCCTGGCTGGCCTTGAACCTGCCTACTTCTGTCTCCCCAGTGCTGTGCACTGGGATTAAAGGCGTGCACTGCCATGTCTGGCTACTCTCTGAATTTTTAAATGCCTGTAAATCTCATTTTTCTAATAGATAGTAAGTTTTGTTTGTTTTCCCAGCTTCAGTGTAGCTGGTCTAAGCCGGGAGCAGCTTTACTTGTCCTCTTTCTCTGATCACCCACCTGACCTCTAGCGAGAATTGTTACGTGTCTGTCAAGCGTATATCTGAGGCCCACCTGGAAGAACCAAAGAGGTTTTATATGTAGAAAACGATAATGGCCTCGTTTGTAAAGTGCTGTATTATCAAGTAGATTCCGTATGTTAAGACATTAATTTATAAGTCACAGAAACAGTCCCTGCACCTTGGACGATGCTAAGCTTTGTTTCAGGCTGTGACTCTTACGTTCTAGTTGAAGACTGGGATAGTTTCCAGGCCATTCTGGATCATACTTACAAGATGCACGTCAAGTCTGAAGCCAGCCTGCACCCTGTTCTCATGTCGGAAGCACCGGTGAGACCCACCGTCCTTTCTGTTTCTTTCTTTTTAAAAATTGATTCACTTACTCATTTATCGTGTGTGTGTTGACACATACATAGGTGCTCCTGTGCCAGGCACACGTGGAGAAGTCAGACATCAACTTGAGGCATAGTTCTCTCCACCATGTGGATTCCAGGGATCTAACTAGGGTTATCAGGCTCGGTGGCCCTCCTTTGAAAGATTGTTGAAATTCACATTTTGAGTTTGAAAATTTGGGGAAAGCTTAATTTATTATCGTAAAAACATTTCAGCAAATGAAACAATTGGCTTTGTTTGTGAATACCAGTTACAAGAGAGGTAATTGGGTATTTTAAAATTCATATTTAGGATTTTGGTTACCAGATTTAATATCTAATAATACTTTTGTTTTTAGAACCTTGATTTTTCCTGTGATTTGAAAAGTCTTTATTTTTAGAACTCATAATAGCTGGCAGTTTTACCTGTTTAATAATAGAGTTTACTTTATGATTTATTAAAAAAAGCAGTCCTTAACGTTGTTTTGCCAGTATGGCTGTGTACTGTAGCATGAAATAGTTAGTGCTTTAGTTACAACGCATCGAATACGCTGGGTCCTTCCTCCTTCCGCAGTGGAACACCAGGGCCAAGAGAGAGAAGCTGACGGAGCTGATGTTCGAGCACTACAGCATCCCCGCCTTCTTCCTCTGCAAAACTGCGGTTTTGACGGCGTATCCTCACACAGTGCGGCGCTTTTCTCTGCGTGCAAGATGGAGTGAAGTGTTTTCCTTCTTTCTAGCATCTTACCTAGCCTTAAGTATTTTTTAAGCCTTTTTTCCCTGTTCTTGGTATATAGTCATTGTACATAGTGTTGGGTTTCATAAACACAATCTCCTTCAAATATTTCATGTACCTGGACCATATTCACCTGCTTCATCTCCTTAGACTCCCCTGCCTGCTCTAATAGTCTCCTTTCTTTTCCTCTATATGTGTGTGTCTTTGTACATGTGTGTGTAAGTGTGCAAATATGGAATACCCAGGGTCCTGGGGATTTCACTACGTCCGGCATGGGATATCTGAGGGGGAAAAAATCTGTGTACACTATGCTCTTATGTCTGTTAACTTTATTCCTCTAGGACAAAATTCTATCAGTACAGCTACAGCCCCGTCAGGCATTCAGGGCAAGAATAACTCTAGATGCACCAAGGTTCTTATCTGTCTACTTTATTTCTCTGGGATGAAATCCTGTCTACACAGCTTCAGTTCTGTCTGGTTCCCTCTCATAGTCCTGCTAACGACTAAGCTCTTATGCTTCCAGCCTCATTTTCGTCCTCTGTTTCTTCATTCTCCATCTCCACTACTCTCTACTCCTGTCTCAAGAGTTTTGCCTTACCATCTACATTACCTCTGTGTTCTTCTCTTATCCCTGGTCATGCCATTTCTGTTCTACAGAAAAATGCCTGTCTATCCTTCCCCTGTCCACACAGTTCTCTGCCTCAGGAATGTTATGTAAACCTCTTTTGTTCTCAGTCAATTGCCCTGGAGAGCCACTAAGCCTCAAAGCTAGAGGATGGTCTGAGCTTGATTAGCACAAGAAACAAAGCTATGCGTCTCCCACCTGCTTGTCTTTGCCTATGTGACCTTATCCAAATACTGGCTCTAGCAGGGAAGTAGTTACCTGGAAGTTCAGCAGGTCTGAGGAGC